GCGGAAGTCTTCGCCGACTCCCTAGAACACCAGTTTTCTCCCAACATGTTCCAGACAAACGACCCTGATTTCGAAGAGGAAGTTAAACACAACCTCAGAGAAATCAGACATAGACAAATTCCCCCAGACTGCCCCCAAATTCCACCCGTAACACTGACCGAACTGAAAACACAAATATCCTCCCTCAAAATCCGCAAAGCTCCCGGACCATACCAAATTACAAACAAAATCCTAAAACATCTTCCAGAAAGTCCCCTAAACCAAATCCTAACTTTAATAATCGCCTCTGTCTCCCTCAGAGAATTCCCTACATCCTGGAAAACCGCCTTTATCATACTAATCCCCAAACCCACTAAAAACAAAACGTTTCCCCAAAACTGGAGACCCATCAGCCTCCTCTCTACTCTCTCAAAAGTCACCGAACGACTGTTCCTTGAACGCCTCAACGATCTGCTCTCCCAAAACCAAACGATCTCTCGGGACTAATTCAAGATGCCGATCGATAATTGATGCGATCGGCATCTAATTCAAGATGCCGATCGCTCTCCAGGGAAAGGGCTCCACTTGAATCATTTTCCTGGGCATAGAAAAAGCTTTCGACAAAGTATGGCACGAGGGCTTGGTTTGGAAACTCCAAAACATCCACAACCTACCCCTAACCTTCGTTCAGTTTGTGGCAAACTTTCTCCACGAGAGAAAGTTTTTCATAACTCTGAACGAAACAAAATCATCCATCCGATCCATAGATGTAGGTGTCCACAGGGCGCCCCGCTTTCCAAAACTCTTTACAACCTATACACAGTTGATGTTCCAAAAAGCCCCCATTCCAAAGTTGCTCTTTTCGCTGATGACACGGAGCCTCTATTATAGCAATAAAAATATCAACTACATAATCCCACCCTTACAACGACACTTAAACACTTTCCAAGCCTGGGCCGACACCTGGAAAATCATAATTAACTCTGAAAAAACTAAAGCCATGATAATAACTAGAAAAATAGTCAACACAAACACTCCAAAACTAACACTGAACAACACGCAAATCGAATACACAAAGGCAGTCAAATATCTTGGCATAATAATAGACTCTAAGCTAAACTTCTCTCAACACATAAACAAAAGTATTAAAACAAGAATTCAAACTGCCGTCTACCTACACCCTCTTCTTAATCGCAAAAGCACACTCGCACTACAAAATAAAACTCTAATTTACAAACAAGTGATCAGAGCACAAGTTTGTTACAAAATCCTGTCATCAGCCAAACATGCAAAACAAACATCCAGAAGCTCCAAACATTCCAAAACAAACTCCTACGTCGAATTTCACGCGCTCCCTGGTACATTCGAAACATAAAAATCCACAAAAACCTCGAAACGGAAACGATTCAGGAATTCATTTCGAAACTACACAAAAAGTTCAAAACCAAAATCCTCGACCACACAGACCCCCTAATCCAAGAGACTTTTTCACGAACAATCCCAAAACTCCACTTCAAATTTCCCAATAGCCCAATGGCAGACCCCCTTTGGGAACACCCACCTTAAGCAAAAACCCGGCTTAATGAAAAACTAAATTTAAACACATTAAAGATAAATAAGGCCAAACCACAGAACCAGTTTCTTCCAAACTACCCCAAAACTTACCTCTTCTTTTTCAGTAGATTTTTTTTTTCATTCACTAATCTCAGGCATATAATCCGCTACCTCACCCAGGCTTACTCATAGGTCAGCACTAAAGACTAAAAGCCTTAACTGGCTAAGTCTACAAAATTTTTCAACACGTCCAAGATAGTCAGGAACTGACACTATCATCATCAAAGTAAAAGGGTCAAATCTGTTTTGAAACTGGACGTTCCCTACGAAAGTAATATACGTAAAGTAACATTAAAATAGAGCGCATCAGGCAGTTTTGATTTCATATTGTTCCTAAATGGTTTAGCTCAAAAAACCGAAGTTTTCTGAATATGCAAATTTTAATATACACTTCCCATTTTAATCACGGTAAACTTACGCCAAATTGTACTTTTACTCATTGCCAACACAACTCATGATCACGATTCTAATGAACAAGACTAAAATAATGTTTTTTTGTCTTATTGTGTGTAATAATTTCCAATAGAAACACTACATGCACGACAGAACTACATCATATGTAAAGTCCATCTAAGTATATTGAGTATTAAAATCTCCATGTCTGTAATTTAGTTTTAAATTGACTGGCTGATTAACTTTACAATTGCCAAGCAAACTTTTTTGCTGCAAAAAGCAAATCTCCACGTACAGTGAGTCCTAGAAGTTATGTGTAAAATCATTTAAAATTCAGCGACCTGATTTTTCAAAGAAGCTCGGACCCGTCAACTTTTATTTGCACATACGATTTTTAAGACCAAATTTATTTATACAGGTTTTTCCAAAAATAATTTCCAAACATCAAGTTTTTTTATTGAATCACCTATTTTTTCATTTAGGATTCAGGCGCCGCCGACTCAACAGGACAAGTAGAATTTTCGAGGTAAAAAATGTATTTATCAAAATAACAAAATGAAAAAACAAATGCAGCAGAATGCAGAATAATTATTGATCACCTTGGATATTGTCAAGCCGCCAATAGGACACATTTTAAATACTTAATTTGATTCTTATTCGGTTTTTTGAAGTAAATTTTCAGAACTACAGAAGTTTGGAAGAAATGGTCGTTACCAGTTATTGAACATTCAATCGTAAATTTCTCGTTAACTGTTGTGTTTAAGTATGACAAATGTTACGTGACTCATACTTCGAACTCATTGAATTATTCAAAATTAAAAAAAAACAAATGCTTCTAATTGAGAAAAACTAAGTTGATGGTCATAACTTATTTCCAAACCACCCTGTAGAAATAAATCTGGTATAAAAATAGCATTGAGAAATAAAAATTGACGATTCCCACCTTTTTTTTTTAAAACAGATCGCTGAATTTTAAATGAATTTAGAAGCTACTTGTACTTGTACTGTGTATAAAAAAACTATGAAAAACCACCTGTGATTATTAAAACGCCACAAAGTTCAGAAAGTTTTTTCGAAAGTTTACATCTACATAATTTGTTTCTGGTGAATTTTATATGAAATTACAATGTATCAAAATGAGTTCCAAAATTTTTGATTTTTTTAAGGGTAATGTTAGTTTTTGAAATAGACTTGCTGCCCAACGAAACTGCTCCTTTTTAAAATAGACTCTTTTCTTGGAACCTCAGACGTATTTTTTTGTACTTGTCTCTAGCACCCAATTTGATAATTCATCATTTTCACAGTGTAGTTAGGGTTTTAAAGCGTTGTGAAACTCGTTTAGTTTTTGCAATCTTTAGGAAGTTGACAAAAGGTTTTTTTATCACTGAATTATTTAGATAGGTAAAATACTGTCCAAAGCTCAAAATTAGTCCAACGTTGGACTGAAATCCCAAGTACGAAAAACTTTTTTTCACGGGGGAACCATTTTGTAGAGCATATCATTACCTTAAAGGTAAATTTTTTACATTGTTTTTTTCACGAAATCAATTTTCAGATAGAAATAACATAATCTTATTACTGGGTTTTATGACATTTTATGTAATTCGTTTAGATTTTAACATTGTTGAAAAATTGAATTAGCGCCTTG